CTTGTAGCTCCCTCCACAGTGATCAACCAGGTTGATAATCTTCGAGTCTGTACCCATTATAACAACCACCAAACCACAGGCACGAAAGACGTTGCGTTGAAAGGCGGCCTTCTGCTTGCCCCCAGTTTTTTGCTTGCGTTGGAAGTCATCTCATCAAGAACAAAGAACGTTAATTTTTTCTGCTCTGCCTTCATCTTAGCAAGCAAAACGCGAACATCTTTCTTGTAGCGTTGTTCCGCTTTCAAGACTGTCTGGTTTTCGAAACGAATCATTCGCGACGAATTTTGATGCTCATCGGAGCTGCAATGTTCAAGCAGTGCCCTTATAAATCCGTACGTCCACAACAGGCCATTCTCATACAAATCCGACTTGAAGTCTAAGATCTCCTTCTCACTCTTACTTGTTGGATTATCTTTCTTCACAATTTGACGAAACGCATTAGATATCGAAGAAAATTTTTGTAGAGACTCTGGGAGTTGGTTCCAAGACGAGTGGCAAGCCAATAAAAATACGGTCGTCGGCCACCCAATGCAAATGCTAGTTGCGATTTCCCCATGCCTGATGACCCTTCCACACAGATGAACGGGATTGGGCGCTCGTTCTCGTCATAGAACTTGTCGACTTTGTCCAAAATGTGTGCACAATAATCTCGGTATTTGTATTGGATAAGACGTCCACAGTGTTGATAGTACGTCAACTCTGACAGATATTTCTCTGAGCTTTCGTCTTCTTCAACTATGACGAAGGTCGGGACAACAACCAACACATTCACAGGACCATTTCCTGCATCTACCTCAATTCCATCAACTTCCCCCACTACTTGCTCATCAGACAACCCAATGCGGTGAAGTATTGCTCCCGCGGCACTAAGATGTTTCAGGCCACTTATGTCTCTAACACCATTCTTCACCTCATTCTCAGTCAGCCACGATTCGCCCTTCTTCGCGAGATATAGCTCTAATTTGCTGGCAGCAAAATCGAACTTCTGCTCTTGCGCAATAGCATCCTTTAAGTGGCCCACCGACTGGCTAGTGTCGATGTCAACAGAGAAAGCATTTCTTTTCAAACCAGCGATCGCGCAGTAAAGCGTCACCATGTTCCCACTTGCTGATTTTTTTCAACTGTGAAGTAGCTCTACAGTGATGTATTCATTTTGACACATAATGATGAATATTACGTACTGAT